TTCCTTCCTTCCTTCCTTCCTTCCTTCCTTCCTTCCTTCCTTCCTTCTTTCTTTCTTTCTTTCTTTCTTTCTTTCTTTCTTCTTCCTTCCCTCCCTCCCTTTTTCTTTCTTATTCCCTTATGGATTTTAACCACTACTGATGGATGCAGGTTCCAACAAGAACAAGGCGGAACCTACTGGTCCCTTCAGAAAGGCCTGGGTACAGCATTCTTTTCACACCATACTGACAGGCATGTCTGGTCTCTGACCTGTTTTGTCATAAAATGAAATTAACAAGACCAACTGAGTGACTCCAGGAACCTTAAGCATGTGACGACAGCTTCTTGAGGCCTGTTGGTGACAATACTAATCATAATGATGATGATGCTATTCATCTAGCAGAGAGAGAGAGAGAGAGAGAGAGAGAGAGAGAGAGAGAGAGAGAGGAGCTTACTGTCATATTCCTGTAACAGCTCCACTGCTGTCAGGAGAACTGCTCTGTGCTCTGGGTCCCTGATATTTAATTCATCCAAGTCTTCCTCCTCCAGGAGCTTGAAGGTGTCCAGGTCTTCATAGCCATTGAACAGGAAGGTGGGCATGTGCTCCTGGGAAGCAGAGCAAGAAGGTCAAGGAGGGTCTAAGGCCATGTGATGCCTGTCACACAACCAGCCTCAGACCCCTCAGACTTTTTTCCATAGTAATTTTTATGCTAATCAAGAGATGAGTATAATTTGTGATACATTCTGGGGCTCACAGCCTTCCAGCTTCGAAGGGAGATGGGGTATATGGGCTCACTCGCAAACGGCTTACGAAGATATCATCTGCACACTGTGGCAGATCCCATTTGCTGTCATTGTGCCCTAGATAAGAACTAACTCCTTTACTTCCATGTGGTCCTCAGTGAGGGAGAGAAGACTTCCTTTTACACTTGGGGTGGAGCTTATTAAAATCCAACTTAGCGAACCCTATGCATTTGTCAGGAGCAAGATGTTCTATAAGTTGAAAACGAAAATCTACCACTGTAGCCATGCTCTTCTAGAAGACACTGAGAGTTACAGCCAGGGCGATGTAGGAGGCGGGTGCCTCGAGGGCCCGCAGAGGTGACTATGAGCAGAGCTCCCCCGAAAGCATTTGATCTGGGGCTTATGCTGTGTACCACCCTTAGAAGAGGTGGGGAACAGCACTGGAGCACTGGGACTGTTTCTATAGGCCGCTCAGGACACCAACTGCTCACACGCGCAAGAGGACATAGATCACTTGCCCAGTTTAGGGCGAGGAAAAGGTGACAAGGACAAATGTATGTCAAGTAAGAGCGACTGACTTTCAGGTTGATCCGATCCAGGAGATCCTCCACGGACTTTGGCTGCGGTGGTCTGCCCTTCCTCCTCCTCCTGGTAGGGCGCTTGGGCTTCTCCTCTTCCTCGTTCAGCACATCCACATAGATGAACTTGAACGTGCCGACTTTGTTGTTCAACAGGCCCATCCATGTGCCCATGGGTGGTTTGCTGATTATGTCAATGATGTCTCCTTTCTGTGGCCCAGAAACAGAGACCTTCCCATTAGGCTCATTTCTCAGCACAAGGAACGACATAATTCAGACAGGTGGGAAACGCTACAAGGTCAGGTCTGGAATCCCGGCTTCCTCCCTCCCTCCCTCCCTAAGTGTGTGTGTGTTCATATGCGTATGCCACGCACACACACGTAGGTGTGTACACGAGGCAATCAGAAGTAGGCGTCAGTGCTCTCCTCCGCTGCACTGCATCTTACTGTTGAGACAGGGCCTCTCACCATATCTAGAGTTCATCAGCTCCAGGGCGCACTCCAGCTGTCTCTACAGGGCACACCGCCACACCCAGCTTTTCCCTGGTGCCGGGGGACAGGAGCTCAGGTACCCACGCATGCACCCCAGTCTAGCCATGCTGACCCCAGGCCACAACCTTCCCTGCCTCCTTCTCTGGAGGGTCGGATGGGTCTCATCTGTCACCCATGCTCTCAGTGGGGTTGTCTACCTTGGCTATTGGAACAGAATCCTCCTCCCAGAGAAAGAGCTGGCCTCAGCCACAAGAGGTAATCTCCAAACCTGTGGCCACATCCTATTTGATTCTATGTCCAACTGCGTCTTTAGGTCCTACCTAAACATCGCTGTACTCAGAGCAGCTATTTCCTTCAAATAAGGACTGCATAGGAGGGGCATGGAAGTTCTGGAAGGAAGCCAGGGTCAAAGGGGAGGGCCAGCGGAGGAAGCAGTGTGGACAGCTAACACATAGCTTTCTCCTCCTTGACCCTGGTCTGGGCTTTAATCATTTTCACCAGAAAGGAGACCGGTGTGGCAAAGGTAGGCAAGACACGATCCAGTCTGCACGGTAAAGAGTCCAGGATCCACAGGCAGGGAGGGAGGCAAGAGGGCCTGCGTTAGCTGCTCGCGGTAAGGAGCAAGCCTACCTTGAGCTTCAGAGAGTCTGTGTCGTAGGGGCTGGGGGTGAAGTCGGTGTGCACGCGGGCACGTCCACAGAAGGGACCTCGGTAGGGTGGTTCTTCATCATCGCCGTCTTCTGACTTGACGCTCTCCCTGTTGCTGGTGGAGGAATCAGTGGTGCTCACAGTCTGGCCGCCTGAGCAGGGAGAACAACACTTTAAACACAGCCTTCTCAGGCAGTGAAGACGAAAGGCCCAGGACGGGCAGCATGAACATTACGACGGGACCACAGCAGGGCCGATTCAAGAGTCCTCAGACTGTTATCCTAATTTGACAAGGGGCTGTACCCACGTGACAGGAATCCTTGGAACACAGACTCAGCAGGAGAGGATGCTGGGGTAGGAGGCCCTGGCCTTTGCCCATAGCACCCAGTACCACATTTTCGGAACACTGTTTCTCCCTTGTATCACAGAGAAGGAGACAAACCTGGAAGCCAAGTAACCTGCCCCTGAGACAGAACTTCAAGACCTGGGCTTACACCTCATTTCTTCCTCCTCTCTTCTCAGCCAGCACCAGCCATCTTTGGTCCTGAGGCAGCCTAGTCGTATTTCCTACCAGAGACACTCACAATTCCTCTCCCTTGCTCAGGCATAGTCCTTCGTTTTGTTGATCCTGTTCACGGACTTTAACCTCTGGCTTATTCTCTAGGCCCTTCCTCAGAGATACATTTCCTGTCTTCACTAATCAAAATTAAACATTCCTCTTCTTTTTAAAGAATTTATTTATCTTATGTGTATGAATGCTCTATCTGCATGCACCTCCATGCCAGAAGAGGGCATTAAATCCCAGTATAGACGGTTGTGAGCCACCATGTGGTTGCCGGGAACTGAACTCAGGACCTCTGGAAGAGCAGCCAGTGCTCTTAACCGCTGAGCCACCTCTCCCGCCACCTAAACATTTCTCTTTTGACCATGGTTGGGTAAACACAGAAGAGCGCCTAGAGGGTAGGTACTTGGCCTTACCCATCTTTAACTTGCCTTAATCTGAGGCTCAAATGAATGTGTGACTCTAACTCCAAACAGAAGTCATGACACACTAGAAATGATACTTACTCATTGAGCTCTGGCCACTCAGAGAACTGCGAAGGCTTTCTACAGAGCCGCCGGCTTTGAGCTTGGGCTTGTCTGCGTGTTCAGAGTCAGGCTTTGCTGAGGCGGGGGAGCCAGGCGTTCCATCAAGGCCCGAGTCCTGAAACAGATTCAGTAGAACTGAGCTTCCTGAGCTTTAGAGAACTCGGGATTCGGTCCTCAACTTCCCCCTTTGAATAAGCCTAAACCCCGTTCACATTTACATATGTAACCCACAGTACTGTTTACTAAGAACCCCCAAATTGTTTTCAAGTTCAAGCAGCTATTCTTAAAAATGTGGGGAAAAACCCTGCCCACCATATAAGGATAGCTAAAGGCTTAGAACTTGGTACCACCAACGGCGCAGGAACAAGCTGAGCCTTGAATGTAGGCTGAGCTCAACCTGCTCTTAACATACTATTTAGAAGTACAATCACAGGCAGTTGATTAACTCTAAGGGAAAACATTTACACTAAGAAAAAGTGTAGTTCTTACAAACAACTGACCAGATTGCTTCTATTTACATAAATCGTTGAGAATGACTGGAAGAGGAGGATGCTGGTGACTGGCCACCAGGGGGCAGCAGCAGAGCGGAAATGCCTGCTGCTCCAGCTGGTTTTATTGGCCAGCATTCCTTACACATTTCAAGCAGGCTGTCAGCTCATGTCATAGGTATTTTAACAGGCTGCAAAACGAATACCATAAAGGGGCCAGAGGAGAAGGTTATGAAATTAAAAGCCAAAAGGACGTCAAAGTTCAGCCCTCCAGGTGTCCTTCCTGCACCTGTGCAATTAAGACAGAAACTGGAGATGTTTCTAGTGAGGAAAGCTCTTTTCCACAGAACCAGGGTGAGACATCAGTTTTGCGATCCCAATGATGACATGGAATGCCAGTAAGTGAGACAGCCTTCTACTCTCTCCATGTAAAAGTCACTATTGCAATCTAGTCGCCGTGAAGCACAGTAAAATTCCTCTCCAGACCTGCTTCTAGAACAATATATACTTCATCTGAAAGGACACTCGAGGAAAAAAGATTCACTTATTCTCACTCTTGGTGTGTGAGTGTTTCGTGTGCATGCCACACATGTGCCTGGGGCCTGCAGAGGCTCGAAGAGGGCACTGGATGCCTGGCACTGGAGTTACACACTGTCCTGAACACCACGCGGGTGCTGGGAGTCACACCTGAGTCCTTCGAAGCCGTGAGGAGCCAGTGCTCTGAGCAATCTCTCCAGCTCTGCAGCTTCGCTGGCACCTCAGGATAGACAATTACTAACATTTTAGAAAAAGGCCTCGCCCTCCCCCTTGTGCTTAAATGAATCACCAGCTTTATTCTATGGTGCTCACTGCACTGAGACTTACTATTACTCCTTTTTAATGTGGCCTCCTTCCCTCCAAAGGGGGGTGGTGAGGGGCTGCAGTGAGGGTTCACCTCAGCCGTCAGCTGACAGGACTTAGAACCACCGTGGAAATGAACCTGTAGGCCTGTCTGTGGTGGTTTCTAGAATAGACTGGTTGAGGAGGGAAGACGAACCCTGCTTGTGGATGGTCTCCTCCGTGGGTTGGGGTCCCGCCCGGGCTGCACAGAGGAGAGGGCGAGCAGCGGCTTGCATCTCCATCTACTGCTGCTCATGCCGACAGTGTTTGCAGCTGACTCAGTCCGCTCCTTGCCCACTGTGCTGTACCATATCTTGAAACTCTGAGCTAAAGTAAGTCTGCCCTCCCTCCCTCCCTCAAGTTACCTTCATCTTATATTTTAAGGCAGCGACCAGAAAAGTCACACGGCCTATGTTTTACTGTATGTCTGTACTGCTGTAACTGCTTAACAAATGTTAAGCCCAGCAAGATGGCCGCGTACCTGCTCTGAGACAGGGCTGCTGTACTTCTTAGACATCCGCTTCCTCATGGTTTCTTTCACCGACTTCACCTTTTTCCCAAGAGAGATTCGAGAGGCAGTAGGCGATTTGATTACTTCTTTGTACACAAAATCTCCCTCTTTACTCTGCAAGACAGAGCGTAAATACCATTAGTCCTAGGAGATAAGGCTAGAAACAGGTTCCATTACTCGAACCATTAATGTCCGCAACCTCAGAAAAATATTAGCATTCCCCAGGATCTTCACATTTTTCTTCTGTTAACTCAAGGCTGTTATTTATCTTTGTGATTAGAAATTAAAACCTACTGAGAGGAGGTATTTTGTTTGTCTGTTTATACTGGGGCTTGGGGCACTTTTATTTTACTTAATCTTAGTACATGCTTTCCTAATTATGTTTTCCCCACCATTTAAAAACACTTGAGGGGACTGCATTTCATTAGTGAAGAATGATTTAGAGGAACCAAGGTTCAGGTGACCCCAGCCGAAGGGGACCTAGTAGTGGCTCACCCTTATGCAGAAGGTGGGCATCAGAAGAGCAGCAAATGGAATAGAACACTCATGTGGCCAACTCCCAAACGCACAGTTTCCTTCACTAAACAAGCTAGACTGTGGCCATCCCTCATTCTGTTTTACATTAAAACAAACAAACATTCCCAAAAAAGGATGGGTGGGAGTGGGGGGCTTTTGTCTTTTTAAAGACAATAGTCAACATAAAATTATTGGCTTATGAATCGATAAAATTTGATACCCAAATAAAACAGCTGAGCTCTAGCAGGAAATTCTGTAACACTCCATATCTCACAGATGTGTATTTTAGCTGACATGAGACCATAACAACTATAAAGCACGAAATCTTCATTTTCTAGTTTCAAGGCAAACTACTTCAGGGACGAGCAAAACCATGGAAAGCTTACCTATTCCTTTTAGGGCCTAAATTTTAGGGAACTTTAAGCACTACCATAGTGGCCTGGCCCTTGACCATGGCCAAAAGCATGTCTGAGGGGAAATTAACCTTGGTAATCAGGGCCCTGGCTTACTCTGACACTGAGACACCTCACGTGAGACAGACCTAAACTTAATGAAGTCCCTGGAGGCCCATGACGTGACCCTGTAAGACTGCTCAACGATACCCACATCACAGGGTTTGATCAGGTCATACCCCGTATGCACAACTGAGTCTAGTGTGAAGGGAACGTTCAAAGACATAGGACTGAGGCCACAGGGGACCAAACCATCTGTGTGTGTGACTTTAAAATACCGGAGAAAAGGCACTGAAGAACAGTGATGCAGCCAAGCACGGCGGCACACGCCTGTGACCCCAGCACTCTGGGGGGCAGAGGCAGGCGGATCTCTGTGAGTTCAAGGCCAGCCCGGTCTACAAAGCGAGTCCAGGACAGCCAGGGTACACAGAGAAGCCCTGTCTTGAGAAACCAAGAAGAACAGTGCTCCTCTAAGGGGATGGGAGGCACAGGTGGCCATCAGCCACTCCATGCGGAATACTAGAACCTCTTCTTTGCAAGGAGAGTTTGGAGGCACTGAGCAAAGCCAGTGACACTAAGAACTCTTGGCACCCAGGTCACTGCAGCCCACACCCACAGCCTACTCACCAGAGGGTCAGAATTATTACTGCCAACATGCAGAGAACGATTTGTCAGGTCGAATCCACCAAAACTGCAAGTTCTCTGTGGAACAAGGGGGAGGGTGGAAATGATCCAGTTATGCTGAGGTGGCAGCCACAGTCAACCCAATGGCACATGTGCCCTGTGCAAAACACCTCTGAGTCACAAATACACGTACAGGATGGAAGTAGGATATGAGACGTGAGGAGGAAAAGCATGATTCGTGTCACGGGAGACCTTCTTAGGTGGTGTGTTCACAGGTCACTGGCTCAACATGCAAAACTCTAAATAAATAATAAATAAACCTCCATAAACGTGGTGCAGGGACGTCCCTCAACATTCGTGGTCCGGGGAGTCCTGGACTCGGCCAAGGACAGAAGGCCTTTCCCAACGACTTGTTTAGTTTTAAAGCTCCGAGGAGGGGAAAGGAGGCTACGCTTACATCCATCCCCCAAATCCTGGCCCAAAATGCTGATAACTTTCCCATCTAACTGCTCAACTTAATTAATTATAATCCCTTTTCTGACATTTACAGGGCGGGGGCGGGGCTGAATATCTGTCGGTGACCACACCTTCCACTTTCAGTAGGAAAAATACTGTTATCAAAATGGATGAAAAGTTAATTGTATTTTTAAGTTGGTTTCAAGTTTTGTGAAACTACTCATATTTCCATGATTTTCTGTTTCTGGAACGTGTTTTCTCTTGTTTTTGTAGGAAAAAAATAAAAAAAAAAATCACTCTATGTTCATGGCTGTCTCCTCTCACCGAAGCACTTTAATTTTTGTTGTAAGTATTGTTTTAAAAGCAGTTGATAAGAAAACTTGAATAGCAGATTTGGGTTTAAATGCTTAGTGCTACCTGCTGCGTAGACCATGTGATAGCCAAAAATGGAGGAACTGAACAGAAAAGCGGAATACACAATAAACACTGCTTCCTTCAATCAGATGTACTTTAGACATCTGCCAATGTACTGAAAGTAGACACAGTCTGGGAACGCATTAATGTACTGCGTCAGGAAAGCAGACATGGCCTGGGAGGAAACGAGCAGGCTTTTACCACGCACATAGATTCAGCTTCTGACTCTGCTCCCTGCTTGTGTGTGAGCACGGCTCGTGCTGAAACTTGCTGACCTTAGGGGTCTGCATTGAGATACTATTTCCATCCCATATTTGGCCTCAGCACGCTGCTCATACTGCAGATCCTCTGGAGATTCGCTTATCTCTGGGGTCTCACTTTGGTTCGCCCGAGAGGGTGGAAGCCCATTTTGGTTATTACACTACAGGTCAGGCTTCCTCAACACTATAAACGTGCAAACGAGGGGCTTGGGACCGCATCTGGGGATTTATAATCTGGGAGTTAAATAGGGAATCAAAGCATTCGGGAACAGACCACTCGGGGTGGGGGCGCTTGTGGCACACGAGAGGGGCAGGAAATAAGGGCATCTAGAGCCAAGCACCTCTCAGGAACACTGTTGTTTCCAATAACCACTCCTTTCTCCCTTTCCAGTGGAGCTTCTCTCAGTCTGAGACTATCAGCAGGCAGGCTTGCTTTCTTTACAGTCAACCAGCTTTGTGTCCAGTCTATAAAAAGAGGAGGACTGCCTAAAGAAAACCAATTGCCAGCTCACCTAACTGGGAAAGAATACTATGGCCACCCCTCAAGGCAAAATTTTTAACTTTAACTTTCCCAAATAGCTTATGGTGCCAAATGCATTTTCTCAGTTTTGCAAAGGCAGGGACTTTATTCTAGTTCCTTTCCTGTGACTCAGGGCCTCATAGACACAGGGTGGCGCCCAGATGTCTGATCACTGTATGGCTTTTGCGCGTCCCTGCTTTAAATGACATCTCCTGCAACACTGGGGCCCAGCATGCTTTCTCTGATGCATATGAAATAACTCACAAGGAATTTATGTGGAAACAATGACTGCAATAAATTAGAAGCTTGTTTAGGTTTTCATGCGCCTGCTGTATGCATTTATGCCCTAAAATAAAGGGCTTGAAGAACGGGACCGGTTTTCAGAATCCTCAGCTAAAATCTCCCCGGGCGAAGTGTTAAGATATCTGGAGCAGATTCTTTTCCATCAGCCATGGGTTAACAACGAGCATTGCGAGGAGGAAGGCCTCACTTCCCTGAGATGACCAGTTCTCAAAGCAGCGCTCCTTCAGGGGGGAAAGCAGTTTACACACATTTATATATGTGTGTGTGTGTGAGTGTGTGTGTGTGTGTGTGTGTGTGTGTGTGTGTGTGTGTATATAAAGAAAACAGTCTTTAAACCCTGGTGATCTACAGAAATAAAGCATAAGCAAAATATTTTTTAGCTCATTTATCTCTTATGCAGATAATTCTAAAAACATTTTTGACTGAGGCTTGGGATGAGGACAGTGGGTCAATGGGATGGGCATGCAGTTGAGAACATGTCTGGAGGAGGGTTGAATTTAAAGGAGGACAAGATTCCAAAATGTCATGCATGTCTGTTTTCTGAAACGGTAACAAAAAAAAAACTGAATGAATAAAAATTAAAAGCAAGACATGTGGCTGTTTCAGTGAATTCAAAGCGTTATCATTTCCCTGAGGTTCAGTCAAGCAAGTATGGCATCTCTGAAGGACAAAAAGATCAAGGTTGAAGACCAAAGCAAACTGTGCACTTTGGGGTCAAGTGAAGGAAGTGTGAAAGCTGTAAGGAAATAAGAGGGTGTGGCCCAGTGGCAGAGCCCTACTTAGCATGCACGAGGCCATGGCCTAGTGGTAGAGCACTTACTTCATGCACGAGGCCCAGTATAAAATAAGAAAGCCAAACCAGAAAATACATGTCTCTTTCTGTTAAAACACTGACTTTAGCCTATAGTTTCTGAATAATGAGAAAATTATTTTTTTCTAATTCTACAATGGTACTTACAAGAACAGCTCTGCACAGATTTCTGAGTTAGCCCTAAACATGTTATTTAGTAGGTATTAAAAGTGCCCAGGACCAGTTTCAGCTGTTGGCATATTAAAAGTATTCAGCTCATATCACCATCATTAGTGGGCAGTGCCGATGTCTGGAGGCCAGCTGGCAGGTGATCTGGCCTTAACTCTGATACCAGGACCAGTGTTTTACAAAAGAGATGGAGGCCAGAGCACACTAGAGACTGAATGAATGACAAAGAAAATTCTGATATTTAAGCAAAACAAACCAGAAAGATGAACACACCGTTGTTGAGACACAGAGAGACATAGAAGGGAAGTTTGCTCAGCACACTGAGAACATAAAGTGTCGTAAGGCTCATCAGAGTGGGAAAAGACAGAAAATAAAATCTAGGACGGAAGTCGACACACATGGGAATATTTTCAAAACCCGAAAGCGAGGAAAGACCCAAAGATCCTCTGAGAAGAGAGGAGGTCAACTGAAGGATGGCAGTGGCCAATCCGTCTTCGTTTTCACAAAAGCAGAACTTGGTTGCATGAATTTAAATTACAGTTATCCAGTTCTGGACAAGAACATCCTATTCATGAACGTGAAGGAACCCTGGGAAAAGAGACTGTGGAAGCCCATTCTTCTCTAGAGGTTCTTTCAGACCTCTCAAAGGGGCTCTGGGCCAGCAGCCCCGGAGGATTAAGCAAGGTGCCAGGGCCCGGCAGCGCCAGCTTCGCCTCGCTCTGTCCCCTTTCACATGGGCCATTGTGCAAACTCCAAGTTAGGTGGGAATTCCAGGGGGGTTTCTATACTTTCAAATTCGAACTAAGTCACTCTCTGAAAGAAAAGCTGAACTAGGCTTCAATATGAAAACTGGAAAACAAATCATTTATATAAGTTATCACATAAGCAAGCACTCTGCTGTGCACAAGAACCTGTGTGGCCGCTGAGGACACTGCTGCATGCTAATTCCCTCTGTTCAAAAAGGTAAAAATATTGAATTAGTTTAATTAAAACAAAAGGGCTTTAAATGACTCCCCCCCCTTTCTCTTAGGTATAAGAACTTTCTGGCAGATTCTACTTATCAAAGAAATGCACTTGAAAATGGTGATGGTGGACTTTCTGTCAGTTCGTTCCTATTGTTTTCATTAATTAAAAAAACAAGAAACCACATTTCTGTCAGGGTTTAATGTCCTTCTGCTTCGAATCAGCTTCTTTGAGGTCAAGTGAGGAGATGGCTGGGCACAAAGACAGCCACTTTTATAAGTTATCCAGAGCCCGTACCCTGGAAGACCACCTTCAAAGTTTAGTTTCAGTTAAAAATCTTACAGCTTCAGTTGGCCAGAGTGCAGATGGGAATAAGGAAAAGGGCACTAGAACAGAAAGAAGGGTGAGAGAGCTGAGGGTGACAGTGGAATGAACCCTGAAGCGATGAGTCGAAGGGAGGAAGGCAGCTTTGGAAGAAGAGAGGCCATAACACTTGACTGCACATCACAGAAATGACAAGGCCTTCCTCACGGCCATCCCGGCGACTCACAGACTTCTGGTGGATTCTCAAGAGAACCCTTTTAGTACAGCGGTCCACCGTGGCAGCCCACTTCCTCTTTGCCTCCTCATCCTCCTCCAGCAAGCACCGCCTCAGGTCCTGCTTCTCGGCCTTGCTCAGCGTCCTTTCTGAGGCAGGACGCACGAGCTGGGTCAGGTTCAGGTGGCTGTAGAGACTCCGCTCCACCACGTAGGTGATATTGAACTCGCTGACCGAGGTGCGCCCTCGGCCCCTCCTGCCAGGGAAGCCACAGCTGCTGCCCCCCTTGGGTTTTGGCCGGGGCAGCAGGTCGCAGGTGGTGCCATTTACTCCTTTTCTGGAGGGACGCTGGCAGAGAAAAGTTCTGGAACAGGAGTAATTAGCATCCGTTTTCTTCAAGCGGATTTGCTTACGGATACTCTGAACCTCCTCCAGGGACACCAGAAAGTGGTGCCTACGCCGATGGCTATCATAGAAGAAAACTCCATCGGTACTTACCCCGTGACTCAAAGACCCAAGACCTTTCTTCATTTCCCCCTCGGTGAGGGAGCGGGACACTTTCTGGGCCTTTTCTTCTTCTGGATACGAGAAGAATGTCCCCATCTTCTTAGGGGGCTTAATCAGGCCCCGGCTCTCTCCCTTGCTGAAGGTTTTGACCAACTTCCGGCCCGCTCCCCAGGTATCCAGGCTGCTGGATGACGGAGATGGGGTGAGGGAGTCTGAATCCTCTTCTGGAGGTTTCTCAGGAGAGCCATCATAGAAAAATGGCTTTTTGTGCACTCCAGAGTAGAGTGCGGATCTTTCATCCAGGGCTGGTGAATTCTCAAACACATGTTCCTCTCCACCTGGAATGCAATCGACAGAATGACTGTCTGGAAGACCTTTGTCTACACGTGCAAAACATGTTAGCTCACACGGTTAATGTGCTCCCTGCCTACACTGCAATCTTCTTCATAAACATGGCTCGATTGTTAACACTCATGCAGCTAAGAAGGCAACCAAACAGCCTTGTGTGGTTTCGGGGGAGCGCAACCCCAGCTACTGGACAGACAGAGGACACAGGTTCAAGATCAACCTGGTCACCTTAACGAGACTCAAAACGAAAGCTTGCTGGTGTTAGTACTCGTGGCTATAGCCCAGCACTCTGGAGGTCGATCGGAAGTCTAGTGTCATCCCCTGCTAAATACAGAGGTCAAGGCCAGCCTAAGCCACCTGAGACTCTGATGCCAAAAACCAAAAGAGAAGGGGGATGTAGTTCAAAGGTAAAGAGGACTTGTCCAGCCTTAACATGTGAGGCTTTACACCCAAACCAAGCACTACAAAACTGGGGGTGGTAGACGTGTGCTATCTTATAGACCAGTATCTCCCTTGACTTATTTTTTTAAAAATGCCATTGACAAAACCAAGGCCCGCCATTATGATACACGTCAACATTTTCAGATAATCGCCACCCTGGTTTGTAAGCGCAGTCCTCAGAAGCTAGATCCATCTTCCCCGCCCTGAGAGGCCCTTCTCTACATCGGCTCTCGTGGCTTTTATAGTTGGAGTGGGATGACTGCCACGTGGCAGACAATGAATTTTCTTATTGGTACATATGTCATTTAAGTGATTAAATCTCCAAGAGAGTTTGGGTGGGGAAGAAACCCCATAAAGGGTTATACTTGCAAATGTGATTGACAAATGGTCTCCAGTTGACCGGCCAAATACAAAAAGCCCGAGTGATCACAGCCAGAGAGTCCCATTCACCCAGCCCCGGAGGAAGCAGCAAGGGCATTTAAGGGCCTTGACACGCAGGCAACTCACTAAGTGTTCCACTTGGGCTCAGGCTTCCAGGCCTTGAAGCTCTCTCTGGGGCCAGGTAGCGAGCCAAGCCCTCTGGAGCCCAGTGGAAAGGCCTGGCTGTGTTGGCAGGACAGCCGAGTTCTTTTCTGCATGTGTTATGTGAACAGATGTGAGGGAGGAAGTAGGTCAAGCTGTGGGTGTAGTGATCCCAACTGGCTGCATCCCTTAATTATAAGGAAACATTGAAGCCTTGAAGCTTTCCACCAGCTGAAAGGGGACAAGGGAAAAATACAAAGTTCCCCGGAACAGAAGGACAACACCGTATATACCAGCTGGGCCAAAGATGCCAATGCGTGGTTAAGTGTCAGGGAGAAAGGGAGAGGGGAAGGTAATAAAAATGGCACCCATTTAAAAAAGATTCTAAAAATGGCTACCTTTTCTAATTGATGGGTATTGATTATAGAAATCTTCTATGAAATCCCACCTTAGCCCAAATCCACATTCATGTGCAGAAATGAGGGACAGCAAAGAAAGGAAGGGTGAGGAAGGAGAACTCAAGACCATGCCAGGTCCCAGGCTCACTAAAAAACTATTTGAGGATATTTTGGAAGAGTTTACAGCACGTCCAGGGTTGAACAGGATCTAGCCAGACCACAGACAGTGCACAAATAGGACTGCTTCCTGTTCCAGATAGATGGAGGCCAGTGGTTTCCCCAGGTAAATATAGCAACTTCTAAAGGTTGTTCTCTGCTTCCAGGAGGAAGCAATTGGGCTATGACTGGAGGCCCAGCCTGGAGGCAGAGGCCCAGCCTGGCAGCAGAGGCCCAGCCTGGCGGCAGAAGCCCGGCCTGGTGGCAGAGGCCATCCCAGCAGTGAATGAACAAGGCTTCATGAAGCCCACCAAGTGGAGCAAATCCACAACAAGTCTAAGCGACTCTGGAGTCCTGCAGGGTTCCTGTCCGCCCCTCTAAGTACCTGTCACTCATCAGAAGTCTGAAAATCTTCTGGAGTGCTTTCAGGACAGTCATCAGCAGTTTAAACACCTCTGTCACAACTGGGCCTGGTGCTAGCTGCGACACACATGTTTGAGACATGTGCGGCCTTAGCCAGGAAAAGCAGGGCCTAGAAAGGAGCTTTGAGGGGAACAGGGAAATGCCTCCAAAGAGGCTGTGTCAGCCTTTGTGAGCGGCCCATGCAGCGTGAGCTTTACTGTCCATGTCTGAGCGGCAGCTGAGAAGCCCGGCCCTGACCTGGGGTCCCTGAACAGAGCATTCTTCTCCTGGCTACTTCTGATCAAAAGGAACAGCTTTGCCCTGCAGGAGTGGAGACCAACCTCCCCACCGTCACCCCCTCCCCTGGTACACCATGTAACCTGCTTCACAAGGACCTTTACGTCAGTGCAGCTGAGATCAGAACACCCGAGCAAAGGCGCCACATTAAGATGTGGGCCACCTGATGACAGGCTACAGCTGGCTGTCAGCCACAGGTCCAGGACCCTGGGCATCTGTGTCTCTTTCCGACCTCCTCTGTCCCAACACCTACCTATCTAATGCCCTAAAACAGTTACTGTAAGTGCTAAGTAAATAGATACTTGAAGCTTCTTCATCTGCTAAAAGGCAGGACAGAGAGGCTGACAGCTCTGTATTGGCTTAGAAGGGTGGATGCGCTGTGGGGGAGGGGCACGCCTACAGAAGTGGGTGATGACAGGCATGTAGGGCTCTCATGTCAGGGTAGACCTGCAACGTTGGGGCAGGAGGGGAGGAGCGGGTGGAGAACTCTAAAGCCACTAGGATGTCCAGAGAGGGCAGGGCACCCCAAGGAGTGCCTTCTGGCTGGCTGAGTGACCTTGGGGCAGTCCCTGGCCTCTTTATCTCTCGCTGGTGAAATGAGTAAGTGCCTGCCTCTGGGTACTCTAGAGATGGCATATTACAAGGGAGCATCAATTCTCAAGTGTGCGGGAGAAGTGCCTCATATGCAGAATGCATCTCCATAAAGGATTATTATTTGCCTTACGACAGGCAGAGGCGTGCAGGCCATCAGGGACTTGATTAAATCTCTTTAAGTCCAAGGGCATTGGGGGAGAGAGACATGTCAAAGTAGCCTGTCCCACCTCCCAGTTCTGCCAATAGGAACCTCAGACAGCCTGGTCACGTGGGGCCTGGAGGCAGACACTCTGAGTCATGCTCACAGGCCCACCACACACAAGCACACGCGCGCGCACACACACACACACACACACACACACACAC